CTCTTTGCTTGCTCATCCCCTGGGTTGTGACACAATAAGAAGGACCTCATCAGATGCTTAACAGATATCAGCACCATGTCCTTAGACTTTCCATACTCCAGAACTGTAAGAAATAATTTTATTTTCTTTGTGAATTACCCAGTCTCAGGTATTCTGTTATAGTGATACAAATTGAAATAAGACTCTATTCATGGAGTCACTGAAGGAGAGAGCCAAGGTTGTCACCTGGAGAAATGGAGTTGTAGGACCAGGAACTGGAAGGAAACCAATCCAGCATGTGTAGGCTTGGTAGCAGAGTCTAAGTGAGGAGACAGGAAGAGCAGCAAAAGGTAATGACATTGGAAAAGATAAGTTGTTTGGCCAGGATACTGGACTTCTGAACTGGACTAAGGTGAAACCTCGAAGAGGCTGGAATGTGTCAGAATGCTAGGGCACAAGCCAAACCCCTCCCAGTTGAAGGGAGAGGGTTAACTACTGACTACTTAATCTATTGTCACCATCTAGATCTTGGGTAGTTCCCTAATGATCAAGACCTCGATGTCTTTCTTATCCTTCTCTTCCCATTAGTATTTCAACTCCTTAATAAGACTTTAGGCATCACACTCATAAACTTTAGGCATAACACTCAGTTATTTATTCATCCACCAAATAATTGGATCATCAGGAAAGGCATGATGCATTTTTGCATGGAAAAACACAGAAAAATATTTATGACTTTACCGACAACCTAATATTTACTAAGCCCCCTATGTATCAGGCATTGTGGCTATTATTAGAGCTACCTTGGTAAATATCATAGTCAATGCAATATGAAACAGACCAATTCCTTTTGTGTGGCCCTGGGCAGATCTTTTCACTTTAGCTCATCAATTTATCACCTATTAAAATTTTAACCCTTCCAACTCAATCGTCCCTGAATTACTCACTCACCAGGGTTACTACTGGTTTGGGGACTGGTAAAGAAAGTCTTACAAATATATTAACACCAAGATAGAATTATATATTCACTTATTTTTTGAGAGGTTTTTGCTATAGGGCTTACCAGAAAAATAGAGACAGAGAGACAGAAAGAAAGAAATCACCCCCTCCCCGGGGGGTTATGGCCATGCCGCAATACCTTCTCCTTCATTTTCTTCTTGGGATCTTGGGCGTGCACGCACACGTGCCTGGCCTGAGTTTAAGCCACCGGGTCCAGGACTCGAATCATGCTAGGAGTCCAGTGAATTAGCCATTCCACCAACTGCTGGTCCTAGAATTATGTATTTAATAAGCCACTTTTATGAAAAAGAAAAACACATAAGAAATATGAGGTAACTTCAAAAAATTCATAGAAAAATATATTAGAATTCACGTTTATTTTGGTGCAAAAAAATTAGAAATCCATGCAGTAGTTTTTCATAATATACATTTTTCATGAACTTTCAAAGACTCAGAGAGACTAGGTCAAGAGAGTCATCACATTACAATCATCATGTGCTAGGATCTGGCTTAAGTCAATCAACTAGACAAGGTCTGAATTTTGTTTAAAATCAACAGGATCGGGTCTAAATTTAAGAGAAAATTGCATAGATAACTAATTATAACACTCTGTGATAAGTTCTGTAGTCCTGGAGGTATTACAAATAATGTCCATTATCAGAAAAGTGATTAAAATAGCTGTTTTCATTTCCTCTTCTCATCCTCTTTAACTCATAGAAGCCAACTCTTAAAAACTGAATCACCAGTATAAAGGGGGTTCCCCCCAAGAAACAAGTGAGTAGGTGCAACTTAGGGTATTAGTCGATGGCTAGGAGGCAGACAGGGTAGGGTGAGAAGGAGACATTGTCTGTGTGGTAGAGTTGCTAACAAAACAAGTGATAGACTCCTTTCTTTGGAACTGACAGTAATAAAGGAAGACACTAGCATACCCAGGCCCCTGTGAAATCTGATCTTGCCTTTGCTCCTTCTCCTTCTTGACCAGCGTTAGCCATCCCAGAGGTAGAGTGGAACAGAGTCGGTGTGTTTGAAAAGCAATAACTGTACAGGCACTTAGGAAGGACAGAATTCCTAAGGCAGTCTTGCTTTTCTTATGTCTGACATCCTCCATCATTCTCTGCTAACATTAGCAACTCCAGCCCCTTTGGAAGAATTCAAGGCTCCTCCTGTTCTGGCCCTAATTTAGCTTCATTGTTTATTTTCTCCCCGCCACTGTGCAGCTTCACCGAACTATTCCCCCTTGCCTCTGAACCTGCCACTTCACATCTGGGACTTCATTGGATGTTCCTACCCCTCCTGTCCCATCCTTATACAAGATGTTCAAATCCTGTGGTTTTGAAGACCCAGGAAAAGTTCTATCCCTTCCATAAAGCCATCTCTAGTCTGCTATGTAAGGGCATCTCTTCCTCCGCACAGTGCCTGATCTTTCACTTCTCTGAGGAGTCAGCACTTTCTGCTAATTGCGGTAGTGACCTGTTCTCATCCTCCGCGTGACTCTGCTAGACTGAGGGCATCTAGGAGACTTAAAATAATTAAAACTTTTTCTCCTCACAGAATGTGATTTGCTTCATAATTACAGCATAATTACAAAATAAGGATGGAAAAGGAAAAATCAAAGTGGAGATCTGATTGACATGGTAGATCCATTCACACCACTGAAATTATGTATTGAAAAAACAAAGAAAAGTGCTTTGGGGCCAAATGGTGAGGCAGCAGTAACACAATCAAAACCATGTGGCAAGGTCCCAGGACTTCCCTTGGCATGGCAGATACCTGAGTGTGCCCATGAGTCAGGCTGGCTGAGGCTAGCAATGGGCTGTAGTGTGAAGACACTGTTGGAAGTCTCTCTCTCTCTTTCTCTCCTCTCTCCCTTTTATAGAAGAAAATGAATAAACTTTAAAAGAAGAAGACCACTTGGAGTTTGTCATGATTCATGTAAATGTCATATAGAAACCATAAAATTGTTCATAGAAATGGGAAATCAAGATTTCAATTAAGCAAAAGAGACTTTAGTATATTTATCAAAAATTTCTTTCTTGGGGGAACCAGCAGTTAGCATAATGCCTATGTCGCTGGACTCCCACGTAGTCGACCGTGGTTCGTGTCCTGGACCCGGTAGCTTAAAACTCACGCTGGGCACATGTGCGTGCGTGCCCAAGATCCCGAGAGGAGAATGGAGGAGAAGGGATTGAGGCATCTCCATCCCCCTCAGGGGGTGATTTCTCGCTTTCTGTCTCTCTCTGTCTGTATGGCGAGCGCATGTGCCCTATAGTGAAAAAAACCTGTCCAAAAAAAAAAGTTTTCTTTCTTGGAACCAGCAGTTAGTGTAATGGCTATGTCACTGGACTCCCATGTAGTTGATCACGGTTTGAGTCCTGGACCTGGTGGCTTAAACTCACGCTGGGTGCATGTGCGTGCGTGCCCAAGATCCCAGGAGGAGAATGGAGGAGAAAGGATTGCAGAGTAGCCATCCCCCTGGGGGGTGATTTCTTGCTTTCTATCTCTCTGTTACTCTCTGTCTCTCTGGCAAGCGCACACGCCCTATTGCGAAAACCTCTCCAAAAATAAAAAAAAAGGAAAACAAAAAAAATTTCTTTCTTTTTCTTTTAAAGAGATTCTTACTATAGGGTGTGTGTGTTCTCTGAAGAGACATAGAGAGACAGTGAGAAAGTGAAAAATCACCCCCTCGGGGGGATGGCCATACTGCAATCCATTCTCCTCCAGTCTCCCCTTAGGATCTTGGCCCCTCACATACACCCGGTGTGAGTTTTAAGTCACCAGGTCTAGGACTACAAACCAGAGTCAGCTATGTGGAAGTCTAGTGACATAACCATTATGCCATCTGCTGGTCCCCCAATTTTTTTTTTCAAATTAAAGAAAAGAATCTTCAGCTACCTACATTTAAACTGGTGATAACGTAAATGTATTAAAACAAAATTTGTGGGCTGATCACAATCTCACTAAATAAAATGAGAAAGACATGGAATAAACAAGAAAATTAACTACCATAGACCTATCACACAAATATAAGCACTATTTATTCTTTAGAGCATTCATTTCCAATGTCTTTCTATTTTTTCCATGCTTATGGTTTGACATAAAAATATATATGTATGTTTGTACAATTCTTGATCTTGTACAATTTTCTTTTTTTAACCACTGATGCTAAGAATATATTTACGACACTTCACCTCAGTCACTTGGAAGTCTTGATGATAAATAACCTAGGAGATACACTAGAATTTACTTTCTCATTCTCTGACAGAAGAAAAATTAGGTTTTCTTATTTTATTTTATTTTTATTTTTTAGTTTTGTTATAGGGTGCATGCACTCACCAAAGAGAGATGAGGGGGGTAGTGAGAAATCATCCTTCAAGGGGAATGGGCATACCGCAATCCCTTCTTCTCCATTCTCTTCTTAGGATTTTGGGCACACACACACATACCCCTGGTGTGATTTTTCAAGCCACTGTAATCTGAGACTCAAAGCACAGAGTTGCCCACGTGGGAATCAGTGCCTTAAGGTATGAATGATGCTGAGTCAGATATCTATGTGTTCAAAAATGCCTCCATATTTGGATTGTTTCCATAGACCTTTTTCCTAGAAATATTTTTTCTAGGTTAACGGATAAAAAATATTTTTAGACTCCTGACATATTGACACTCACATCCAAAGTATCTCTATGACTGATAACTAGTGTTTAACCCAGTGCCCTTGTCACTCCATGACTATTTGATGAATGGACCAATGACTGCAGTGTGGCCCCATGCTTCCTATTCCTCTGCCATGGATTACTTAAGTCAGTTCCTTGCTTGGTAGGGGTGGGGGAGGTGCCATCCTTTTGGCACCAACACATTTACCCACCATGTGGTTTGATCAACTGGGGAAGCCCAAGCCCTGGCTTTTAGCTCAGCGGAAAGAAGCTGGACTAGCGAGTTCATGCACAGATCAGTTGTTATGAGAAGGGACCTGCTAAGAATAGCCCTAGTTTGACACACACCCCTCTCCTCCTGCTCACGGGGGAAACCATTTCTACACGAGAAACCAGAACAAGTCATGAGTTGAAGACTGAGACGTAGAGCTCAGAGATGCTATTCTTGGATATCCTGAGCCCCTGTGGTTTCCAGGGACCATAAGTTGTGCAACACTTAACATGACAGCACCACTATGCTTAAAATTTTCCCTCTTCACCCCCGGATTCCATTTCCCCATTCATCAGAGCTGCCTATAAAGAGAAAGGGAAATGGCTTGAGACCCCAGAAGGATACAGGCGGCAGCAAGTGTTCGGTCTCTTCTCAACTTTGCTGACCCTCAAGCCCACACTCCATCATCTGCTGAGAATCATGAAGGTCCTCACAGCTGCCCTTGCTGTCCTTCTCGGCACCATGGCTCTCTGCAGCCAGGTCTTCTCAGCACCATGTAAGTCCGTGTTGTTGTGGGTATTCTCGCTCCTGACCATAGGTAGATCACGTGGGTCTTTTCTTGTGACCCAAGAGCCCTCACAGGAAAACAGAACTTCTTAAAAAGCTATGAAACATTTTGATCTTTCACTTCAAGGCTTTCATTTTCCTCTTTAAAGGAGGCTTAGCTCTTCTTGTCTCCAGATGTGAGAGTCAGGGCGAGTTACAGTCTCTCATACAGGATCCTAAACAAATGAGTTTGCAAAAGGCAGATCAAGGTCTGGTTACTTTCTAGGGGTGCCGTTCATTCTCTAGCTCCCCCTCAGCCTCCCCAGGAGCCTTGTCTATTGGCTGCCTTAAGAAAGATGTCCAAAGTTTTCTTTTGCTGGGGTATGACTTTTTGAGCCAGACCAAATTCCCCAAAGAGAGATGAGATGACAGAACAGTCTATTTAGATATCTGAATCACACACAGAGAGTCCCACAATGAAGGGCCAAAGAGAAAAAAGAATATAGACAACAAAATAAAAGAAAGAGACAGGGGCATTCTAGGCACAAATGCCCAAATGCCTTCCAGTGACCTGGTTTCCCAGCCCCAGCCCCAGCAACCCTGTCCTTTTCACCCTATTAGGGAGCAGCAGTTGGCTTGGCTTTTCTTCCAAACTATGTCCCAGGCTCAATCTGTTCTTTCCTCTACAGTTGGTGCTGACACCCCGACCGCCTGCTGCTTCTCCTATACCTCCCGGCAGATTCCATACAAGTTCATAGACGACTATTATGAGACCAACAGTCAGTGCTCCCAGCCAGGTGTCATGTAAGTGCCAGTCTTCCTGCGCATCTCTGGGGAGGCAGGGCGGGTCTGGGCTGGAGGCAATCCTGTGGGCACAAACAGGCCAGCAGTGCCATCCTGGAGAGGCCTGGTCTCTGGAGCCTGTCAAGTGCGCAGCACCCAGGGCTCTAAGGCATGAGCTGACCAAGTGGGCAGAGAGGAATGTTACAGAGCCAAGGAGGGTGGCTCCAGTCCAGGGGGAAGGACAAGAGGAAGTGGCAGGATCTTCTGAAGGGTCGTCTGGAGGCAGTAAGAGAAGCTCTCTAGGCTGAGATAGTCACAGTGGACAGAGGATTCTCAGTGTTTGATTCTCTGCCTCTCTCCACAGCTTCCTAACCAAAAAAAGCCGGCAGATCTGCAGTAACCCCGCTGAGGCCTGGGTCCAGGAATATATCACCCAGCTGGAACTGAATGCCTGAATGGTCTGGGAGCTGCGAAGAACCCAGGATACTCGGTGGGCCCAGTGGGGAGCAGGGGCCTGAGCCTCCCGAAACATCCCTGCAACCTCCACAGCTACCTCTGCAAACTGGTTATTGCCAAGCAGCCACACTCTGAGACACTTCTTAACTTAAACTGTAACTTATTTATGCTATTAATTTTGTTAATTTATTTCATAGTTTGTTTTTGATGTCATACTGTGTTTGTGACTCTTTC